TTGTGTCGCGCGTGTTCGAGTATTATCGAAGTCGACGCGCGGACGCAACCGCAACAATATATATATATATATATATATGTATGTGTGTATATCTGTGTGTGTCTGTGTGGAAAGCACAGCTTTAACTATTCTAAAAGTTACTATAAATATGAAAAACGCAACGCAGAATGTTAAATTGATCATTTTATGGAAATCAGACGACGCAATATATAACTGTTTTTATTACAGAAATTAGAAGGCTGCGATCCTTTAAAGCTGAATATATTCTGATAAAAAAATTCATTTATTTAATTGTCAAATTTTTATAAAATTTGAATAATGGTGTTAATATAATATTACGATAAGAGAGAGGAAAAATTTTGCATTTTATTTAAAAACTACAGTAAACAATCATATGATGCCTCGTGACTGACAGAAGTCATTTTCTGAGTGGCTTTGAGTCATATTTAATTTTCTGAGTGGCATTAATTCATATCTAGTTTTCAGTTTGTTACCCTTAAGACCCGTTGATATATAAATATTGATTCACCTAGCTTCATCCTTTACTATTAATATGTGCCTTTCCAGATCATAGCTGCACTATAAACAGATGATGAAGACTTGATTTAACACGACTAACCAGCACATTGCGGTCTTTAATCACATAAATTCTGGTAATGTATGTCATAATGATAACGTGTTGTTATCTCGATAAAAGCGGAATAATAATTCGTTATTATAAAAATATACACAATCGCCGTAATTGCACAAATGGTGTGCAATTTGCTCTCGTTTAGAGAGTTACATCAATTAATTAATTGATGTCATTATAGATCAAATTATACGCGCGTCCTTTCCACGCGTTGCAGCTTAATTACGCAGATAATATACCAATATCGTAATAATAACAACGGATCATGCATCATACGAAATTATTCAATCTTTCGGTATCTTGCTATCAATTTCACTTACGACTAGCCATGAAAGCGCATGTTTAAGTTTAGTATCTTCCAAGAAAAATTGCGAGTTTTTAATCGAACCGTCGAGGACTTATAAGGCCAAGGGCAATGATTTCATATTGTTCCATATCTCTCATTCTACATATACACATTTTCGGAGTAGTATCTTTCACGTATTATCTGTGTATAAGCAATATGTAAATTAAATGTTTCTGCAGTAACGTGATTTACCATATAATTTACCTTGAAATTAATATAGGATTATTTTTATATGCAAGGTAATAATATAATCCAATACACAGTTACCTTGCTTTATTATAATTATTGTAATTCCGCAACACGTGTGGAAATGCTTCTCTCTTGCCAGAATCAAACTTATAAATAATTCGGGTGCAAAATAGGCAAAAAATCATAAGATAGAAACAAATTATGCACGCAAATGTGCCAGATGTGAGAGTAAACTCGAAAATTAAGGAAATGTATGCGGCTGATTAGCTTGCAAATGTTTTACATGGCTTTAATTCGCGGCCTGTAATCGATTCGAGACTTATGCCTACCAGTAGAAATTGGGTCAGTCTACAGTAACCTGGTTTTGATCAATACAATGCAATATCCGTATTGAAAGTAGATCTGGATCAGAGACGTTTGTTATCAGAATGATTGACAGACAATGTTTCCAATTTTACCTGCCAATTTTCACCGACTATGTCACAAAGCGTGGGCATGAAAGCGAAGTCGCCATATTCTTTGTAAAACTTTATCCCGGCACTTATCGATTCTTATAAATATAAATAGTGTTAAAAAAGTGTTGCTTTTGCATACATATATACTAAAAGCAGCATACATGCACCATCACACGTAACATTAGAAACATAATGTTGATGACAATGACATATAGCTTTAACTTTAAAATATGCTATAATTTTTGAAAACTGAATGTGTATTCATATGCTTTGCAATTTATTAGAACCCGGTGCACAATTAGTGATTAGCCACTATATACAACTAAACATCAAATTTCAAAAAAGATCTTTATGGTTTCTCTATTTAAAATATATATATTTAGTTCTTCTCTAATAAAAACAAAATTATTTTAACGTTTGGACAATATTTTATCTATCTTCGATATTAAATAAAGACAAATGTATCTTAATAATTTATCACGTTATAGCTTGGATCAAAATTTGAAACTGTTCCTCTTAATTAACGCCAATCGATTGATATAACTGATCCTCTCTGAGCAACCCGCGATCACAAAAATGATCTACATAATTAGCATTCCTTAATGTCATGTAAACTGTAAATTGCGAATTCAAGTGATCTCAAGTATAATCTGATGTTACAATAGCGTCGAAGATCGAATTTCCCGATGATACTGGTGCACGGAAGCACCACGGGCGGTATATCTGTATCTCCAAACACCTGTTAGCAGTTGCTCTTGAGTGGGCGGCTCGCCACATCGCCTTTAAAGCGGCGGCATCGCGAGCAGTCTGAATTCCTGCGTCGCTCTTAAGCTGGGCGAACGAGCTGAGCGAATAAATAACAGGTGACCTTGATCACCTCGGCATCTGATACCATTGCTCGTTTTTCGCGCGTAAAACTAAAAAAAAATCAACTCACTTACCGGCATGACCCTGCAGCGAATAATTCGCCTCCTCGCTCGGCAGAACTGTCTCCTCGAGGATGCTCTCCGATGCCGGCGCCGTCTTTGCGATTCCCATCCTCGGTGCACGCCGGATGCTGCGGACTGACTGTGTCAAACGGATATAGACACGACGGTAGTTTAAGATTCTATCTTTTTTTTTCTCTCTCAGTTTCTCTCCGATCCTACGACGATTATCACGTCTCGATTGTGCCGCGTTGTCTGGCGTTGCCGGAATGCTCGGCGCCGTTTCGTCCGCTTATTGCGTCTGCGTTCGCGCCTGCGTTCATCCCCCTCGCCGTATCTCGTCCATCCCCTCGTCCCCTAGCCCTTCTTGACCCTCGTGCATCCCCCGTTGCCACGGTCGGCACCTCACCCCCATCGTCACATACAGAAGCAAGGCTATTCCTCTAGGCCAGGGTGAGCGCAGTAGGCAGGAGGGATTGTGGCGTAGCAGTAGTGGTGATGATGATGACAGGGGTAGTGGTGGTGACGGTGTCCTCTTTATACTGCGGTGGGACGGCAGGGGTTGCTATCGTTGCTGTTTTCGCTGCCGCTGCTGCCGCTGTTGCTTGTGACGGCTGGTTCTCCTGCCTGCCGCTACTGTTGTAGGGGTGCGACGAGCACACGGTGCACAGGGGCAATGTCGACCTATCTCGGTCTCGGTGAAGGTCTCCGTTGGTTACTCGTGTCGGATAATATTTCCCTCTTGCGCGCGTTCCGTTTTCATCGCGCGTTCTTCCCGGAGCGCTCTTTCTCTCTCTTGTTTCTTCCCTCCGATCTCCTCTTCCTTTCGGCTTCCTTGAAGCTTTACGATCTACGTTTTATTTCAGCTTGTTAATTCGAATTAAATCGTATCCTGCTATTGCGACTGGCCTGCGTTGATTCTTCATTTGTTGTAGAGCATGATGTTATATATTTTAAGTGTAATTTTTATGCAAATGAAAAAATTTAAAAAGTATAAAAGCTTCGCAAATTGCAATATTTTATTATTAACTTTGTTCTTTTATAATTTCTTCTTTCTTTGTTCTGAGTTCCATCTTTTTTTCGCATAGCAATATTGCAATGTTCAAATGAAGCAAGGACTCTGAATATATTTAAATAATTTTATTATGTATGTCTAAAGCCTATCGCACAATGCTAGGCGATAGCGATAGGCGATATCCAATGAGAGCACTGCTTTTTCGAAAAAGATACATTATTTTCAAAGTCATTTTCAAATCAACCTAATTTTTTTAAATGGAATGGTATTTTAGAATTTTAACTCAAATTGGCATTTTAGAAACAACACAAAGAAAAACAACAGAATCTCTTGATCACTCTTTATTATAAATATTCAAATTGGTGACCGTTTACATCCGAATATTTTACAAGTCTTACGAAGGTTGAATCTTACTCTTGACAACATTTATTTTCAACAAATAGCAGAATGTACTACGACAAAAAGCTTGTAAATACATGAAGAAAGGGAGTAAATATTAGTATTTACAAATTAACGCACGGGTAATATAATGCAAACTCGCGCTAATTTAACAGGGTTTGCGCTGCCATTGCGTATTCGCGCTCTCTCTAACTTTACGATATTAATTAAATGATATCTTATTTAGAATTGTTGAATTTATCTTGAAAAGTTCTTGATAATGCTGACAACAAAAGTATACATTTAATTTAAAGAAATTGGGTTAACTATAAAATGATCTTGAAAATAATGTTAAATTACATAACTCTGATTACGTCGTCATATGTCCTCCATCCATCCAAGCAACTTTTATTTAAAACATATTTTTATGTTATTAATAATTTTAAAGCTATTCACCTGTAACACTTTAAATGAACCATCCTGTATATTTATCTTTTTTGCTCTGCAAAGTATTCTATTTTCCGATAAAGTTTTCATCATTTATAGCGTTTTAATACTTTATTGGCGTTTTGATCGACAGATAGATAAATGTTGTTATATTTTTTAAACATGAATAATTATCACAAACTAGGTAAAAAATATGCATAAAAGAAAGATAGAAAAGAGCAAGAAAGAATAAATATCTCTATATATCCGCGTATATATGTACATATGCGTGCCGAAAATTGGAGCTTTCCGTCGAAACGTTCGCAACACGTGTTTGCCCTTGAAATCTCCCACGACCAGCGCGGGGTGCCTCGTTGAACGCAAGGGGCGATCGTTAAATCACACCCTTTATCATGCACTCGCGCTAGAAATCTCGGAATCCGGACTCGCCCGTTTAACTACGCCACGATGTCTCGAATAATCCCAGCATCTACCTTAATCCTCAGCGTCTCCTTGTACGACTCGCTTTATTCGCAAGTGTGCGACACCTGCGTCATCGGGCTCCCTTCTGCTTTATTGAGTGCACCGCCTGTGAGATCTCGACTAAAGGCTTTTTGCCCCTCCAAACCACCCTTCTAAGTGTCGCAGACAGGCCGGGAATCGGATTCACGCAGATATCTCACGTTGCGAGAGACTTGCATAAGAGTCTTGTTAAGCTGTTGATGTTATATCTGAATGAATATAGTGTCGACTTGCGATAAAACATAAAGAAAGATCGGAATCTTGGAAATAATAACGCATCATTGCCTTTTACATATTAAATTTTTGTACACTCACTTTATATATTTATATATTTAAAAATTGTATAATATTAATTATTAATGTACGATGTAAATAAGATAATATTTATTATAAATGTAACATATATTTGTGGTAGCAAGAACAAAGAAAATAAGATTGACAAATTCCAATTGATTAATAAATGTGTAGCAAATGGTAGTGTATATTCTTACGTATAGTTTCGCGGGTTTAAATTAAAACAATTAATTTTCAATATTTCAAATTATATTAATATATAATTAATATAAA